AGTCCTTCTCCTCAGGGCTGCAAGATAGAGTATAATCAGTACTCTTCTTAAGCACATTCGACTATATTGCCCCTCCACCTATGGTATAAAGTCAGTCAGTTTAAGCAGGACCAGTCTATTAGTTCACTTTTACAAATTTCAATTTCAAGGCCAAAATTCATACTAAGAATTTGCCATATTAATATTACGAATGGGGTGTGTGTGTATACAAAAATACATATATTTTTTATATATATATATGTATGTAACAGAACAAGACGATCATATCATTTATACTAGATTTGCTCTTGGTATTTCCTTTAATGAAATAAACATTTTCTAAAAATCACTGGCAGCAGTTAACATTTCAGTTTGCTCCCCTGTTACTCTGTCAGTGAATTTATTGATGCAAACACTCTTCAGCAGTACTTAGAGCACTTACCACTCTTGGTCACTTCATGTTTTTCCTGCATTCGATTTTTAATTTTTAGAATTTGTGGAGTTTTTAAACTGCTGGCATTATTGTACCTTTTTTTGAAAAAGTTCTTATTTCAAGGTAGAACATTTCTTTTTTAACCTTCCTAAGATACAGCAAAAAGAAGAGCAGGGGTATGATATGACTTGACCTGTCACAGCAGATTAGTTGCTGCAATGGAAATTTAGACCAGATGTAAGGACTTGTATCACTCTGTGTGGTTAAGCATTGGAACTGGAAAATACTTTTGATTGGACAAGTACCTAACAACCTGGTCAGACTTCAGTTAGCCTTGCTTTGAGCAGATCATTTGATTAGGTGACCTCCAGACATCCTTTCCAATCTGAACTGTTCTCTTGTAAAGCAAGGTAGCACCTGCTTATCGTGTGAAAGACTTACTGAAGTAGTCTATCTTGCTGTCTTTCCTGTTTCTTTCGAAAAACTAAGTATAGTCTGATTTAGACTTAGTATTTATTTGTCTAATTTTTTTCCTGAATCAGTCCTGTGTAGAATTGCAGATCGGTTTTGAAATTTTTTGGAATACTGACTGTGGCAGTTTGTTTTATAGCCAGCTTTATGGTCTGTACCATGGTTTTTAAAAATTGCTGTGATTTTAAATGATACAGCAGTTTTTGACTCAGTTAAGTTGTTGCAGAGCCGAAATAGCTTGCTTCCCAGCTATGCTTCCGTGTTTATTATGGTTGGAACTTTAATAAATGAATCCCTGGGAAAAAAATTCTTGATGTTATAAGTAGCCAGTAGACCACATTTTCTTAAATAAAAGTGTCTCTGGACTTTTTTCCAGAATTACCAAAATTAAAAAAAAATAACCACCCACCACCAAAACCAGATCCACACCAAAGAAACCTAACCAACAGAAAAAACCTAACACTTCCATATTTTCTGGACCACTACTTGGATCCTTAACTTCTGAAGCACAGTATGTGTTTCAGCATTTGATGAGCTCTCCTCTTAGTTGCTGGGGGAGAGGCAGGAGCAGTGGGAAGAGATGAGCATGGAGGTTTCTCTCTTTGGTTGGTGGTAACAGGTAATCTTCAACTGACAGCTTCTCTCTTGCTACAGATAATTTGCTACAAAGTAACCTATGAAAACAGGAAAGAAGTCTGACTCCTTTTACAAGAATGAATTTGAGGAGGTAACCAGTAATACAGGACAAAATGTTTCTGCATTTTGACGCATAGAGGAAAGAAGCAGTATTTTTCTGACCTAGCACGTTAGAAGCCAGATTTTTGTGTCGCTATACGTGAGCATTGTTTTCTTGCTTGGGTTAAAAGTTACTTGACTGAAAGCAGCGAAGGATGAGGCTCATGCTGATGTGCTGGCAGAATTTCTACTTGGAAACTTACTGAGTAAGTTGTGATCATTGACAGGGACTTAATTGTTTTGCCACTCTGAACTACCTAGTGCCACAAGTAAGTACGTGACGCAAACAATGAAGTGCTAAAATCTAAAAAGAGCATATTTTAATAATTTCTTCTTTTTTTTTTTTCCCTTTTCAGGGAAATCTGATGAACCAAATTGTGATTGCGACCAGTTTCATTGCGCTAATGGGAAGTGTATACCAGAAAGCTGGAAATGTAATAATATGGATGAATGCGGAGACAACTCGGACGAAGAAATCTGTGCCAGAGCCAATCCTCCGACAGCGGCTTCCTTTCAACCCTGTGCTCACAATCAGTTCCAGTGTCTTTCTCGCTTCACCAAGCTTTACACTTGTCTTCCAGAATCTTTAAAATGTGATGGTAACATCGATTGTCTTGACCTAGGAGACGAAATAGACTGTGGTGTGCCAACATGTGGGCAGTGGTTAAAATACTTTTATGGTACTTTCAATTCTCCCAACTATCCTGACTTTTATCCACCTGGAAGCAACTGCACCTGGCTGATAGACACTGGTGACCATCGCAAAGTAATTTTGCGATTCACTGATTTTAAACTTGATGGTACAGGTTATGGCGACTACGTCAAAATATATGATGGATTAGAGGAGAATCCACGAAGACTGCTGCGTGTGCTAACAGCATTTGACTCTCATGCTCCCCTCACGGTAGTTTCATCCTCAGGACAGATAAGAGTGCATTTTTGTGCTGACAAAGTGAATGCTGCAAGAGGATTCAATGCCACCTATCAAGTAGATGGCTTCTGTTTGCCCTGGGAAATCCCATGCGGTGGAAATTGGGGTTGCTACACAGAGCAACAACGCTGCGATGGCTACTGGCACTGTCCAAATGGAAGGGATGAAACCAACTGCACCATGTGCCAAAGAGATGAGTTTCCCTGCTCTCGAAATGGTGTTTGCTACCCTCGTTCAGATCGCTGCAACTACCAGAATCATTGCCCTAACGGTTCAGATGAAAAAAATTGTTTCTTCTGCCAGCCAGGAAACTTTCACTGTAAAAATAACCGCTGTGTGTTTGAGAGCTGGGTTTGTGATTCTCAAGATGACTGTGGTGATGGCAGTGACGAAGAGAACTGCCCAGTCATTGTGCCCACTAGAGTAATAACGGCAGCTGTCATTGGGAGTCTTATTTGCGGATTGCTGCTTGTCATTGCGCTGGGATGTACTTGTAAATTGTACTCACTCAGGATGTTTGAGCGAAGGTAAGTGGAACAGATGACCTCGAGAACTTCAATTTCTAAAATTTCATATCTTTTATAGTTCTACTCAAACCAATTTTTTTGACATACAGTTATTGTTGCATGTGATTTCTGAAGGCATCGTTCCTTCTTTGACAGTAAAAAGAGGTTAGGTAAGAGGAGACCAGAAGTATTCTGACCACCTAACTATTGAGAGTTAACCTTTCAGATGTTGTTACCAAAAAGAAAGTGTGGAAAAGCTGCATTTCTGCAATTACATGATCAGTTTTGTATTTAACAGCATTCTTGTATTGTATTTCTTTTGTTCTTCTATTGTAGATTATCTCATACCAGGATTACACGTTCTTCAATTTTATAAAATAACATAAGCATCTCTCATGGTCCTTTTATATTTAGTGCATGTGTTTTTGGGGGTTTCTAATTAATTTATTGTTAGGTTGGTTTTGTTCTTGTCTTGGCTGGACAGACCCGTAGGAATGACTGCAAGGACTCTTCTGTATATTCTTTGCCAGTTAAATCTCAATTAAATTAACAAAACATCATCTGCTGGAATGTATTATTTCACATTATAATAGTCTGATGTAGTTTTAGTCTTAAATGTATATGTATATCATAGTCTTATGTATGATGAAATTTCTTTTCTCTTTGGAAGATCATTTGAAACTCATTTGTCAAGGGTTGAGGCTGAGCTATTAAGAAGAGAAGCTCCTCCATCCTATGGACAGTTAATTGCCCAGGGTTTAATTCCACCAGTTGAAGATTTTCCTGTTTGTTCACCAAATCAGGTAAGAATCAAAAATGGCAGGCAGACCATTTAAATTTTAAGGAGACTGAAATAAAGATGATATAACTCTCATCTGCATTTTTTATGTTCTATAGCATTTCCTTTTCTTTCTGTCAGACAAATACTGTGATACTAAGGATTACCTATTGGACAAAATCCTTACGATATGGTAGCATCACAGAGTTTTCTTTGCAAGGGTTTTTTCTTGTGAATCAATGCCAGTAATGCACACTGTAGAATGCCTCTTGCATGAAAAGGAATAGATTAGTGGATCTAGTTCTGTGTTCTGTATTGATGTTGTTGTGTAAATTAAGACTGCAAGCTAGCACTTTGAAATTTGGGAAAGAAGAACTGAGACTTCTAATTGAAAATGATGGTTCATATCCACTGTGCATCTGTGTTTAGGTACGGTCATGCCCTCTATGCATGGAGGAGATGACAGCAAAGTCAAGGCTTAAAACCAAAATTGGCAGGAATGAGTAACAAAGTAAAAGCTAGTAAATGGCAGTAGTGTCTAGCCATCTTGATCCTCAGATGGATCATTAGCATAACTCTTATGTGGTTGATAAATACGTTTTTATCAAAACAGCTTATTAATTTAAAAAAACTGGCTTTCAGTTAGAATGGTCTTTTGTGGAAAAGAAGAAAAGTCTCAGTGTTGGAATCCTGCTGTGTTAGACTTGGCATTAACTTGTATTATGCACTGCAGTTAATACAGCAATCTTTACTGTTAGCCAGTATGACAGAGCGCATAAGTAAAATAGTTACAAGTCCACAATAGGGAAATTGGGATTTATTTTGAACAGAACTGGTTTCATTGCATTTACTCTGCCATAGATTTCACTTACTCTTTCACACATACATGTACACGGGCCCCAGCTGTGATCTATCGCAAAGGATTTTGCAGTAGAAAAGCAGGAAATAAGTTGCAGTTTGCATGAGAAACTTTGAAAAAATATCAGAAAAAAGGCATTGTGAAGATTTTTCAGTAGCTAAATTAGGACTAAAAAAGTAATAAGCTTATTAATGAGCGCCTGTAATGAACACTGTGGAGTCCCTCCTTCTTTTTGGAAGGGTTATCATGGTTATAATAAAGATCATTATATTTCTATTTAAAAACAGTTGTGTACTTTTACAAATTTGGCTTGTCTGTCCTCTTTTCCGAAACTAAGCTTCACCAGTTTGTCAGGCAGCTATGCTCACAAGCCTCTTGGAGGTAGGGTTAGGTCAAGAAAGTCTTAAGCCAGTGCAGTTGTTATGCCAAGATATGCAACTCCTCTGGTGCAGGTAACTTGGAACAAACTAATGTTTTCTGTGCATCCCTACTCTGTATGGGACACTTCAGGTTCGGTGCACATGGATATGTTCAGGAGCCATTATGATTTTCAGGCCGACTTGGCTTTCTCAGACCCATTTTCCATCATAAAACCCCACAAAGGTGGCCTAAAGATCTTGGTTTTCACTGAAATGAAATCTAATAGGACAATTCTGGAAAACCTGGACATTAGTGGCTGCAGTTAGAGATCGGTACCGGAGCTTTTAAAAAGCTGTGCAATTATTGGAAACTTTTCTTACCTTCAGTTTGACTAAAATTGAATTAACAGCTGTTGCTTTGGATATATTTTAAACCATTTTTCAGAGCTAAAAGCTTACTGAAAGTGGCAATCTTTTGTAGTGACACATAACAAAATGTAGTTGCTTTATAGTCTTTCTGTGTAACCATGATTTCACATTCCATAAAAACACTGACGCATGTACGATTTTTTAGTGTTAATAAATTCCCATTGTGACGACTGGTATTTCAGGTAAGGCTTGTGGCCTTAAAACCATAAGTAGCTATACTGGGAAATAAGCATAAAAATAAGGAGTAGCAGGGAGTAGGCCATCAGCTTCAAAAATTATGAAACGGTCATTCTAGAGCATTCTGTGTTCCATAACAGAAATTTTTACTCTTATTTAATCAATGAAGTTGATTGTTTAAAAAAACTTGATTTTCAAAGGAGAGAACATCAGTAAGAGTAAATGCTTAATAAGCAGTGTAAATTCAATTCTGTAAATTATAAAGCTCAAACTAAATTTTTAATATGGTTAAGTGTTGGGGGGAGGGAGTCAGTATTAAGTGAGGATGTGTTCAGCTTGCTTTGTTTTGAGCAATATATACATCTTAAGATTGCATATCTGTGTAGGACCGAAGGCACCTACTCAAAATTTCCTAGAAGTAGGTAGTCTTAGGCTAGAGGAATTTTGGTGGTTCTGGTTTGTGTGTAATGCTTTCCACCTAAAACTCATACATGCCTTCAGAGTTGGATTTTCAAGGGTGGGTAGCAGTCCCTCCACTAGCTTTTGAAAGTAAGGCTACTGAATATATATGTTTATATGCTTGAATTCAAATATCATTCTATGAACTATTGGAAGAGGTGGGTTGTTCATGGAGTATGGTTTGGATACTGTGCTGTGTATGCCCTGGGGCATCTGAAGGATAGTGGAAGGGAGCTGAAGGTGACAGCATGAGAACACTTGAAGTTCAGTGTTTGTAAACAAAGTGAAGCATGGATTCGTATGTGAAGTGTTAGCTGGGAGGGGGGGAGCTATTGTGAAGAATACCCTATTTTTGCCATAATCTTCATTAAAAGATGTGAATGTAGACTTCATCCTGTAATTAAACATACCAGTGAGTATTTTCACAATTGTGGGCATCTGGCAGGTCTTCTGCCTTAGGATATGAGAACAGAACTACTTGTCGGAGGCACTGTTTTCTGTAAGTTTGAGTAACGGACCCCCAAGTCAAAGGTGTTAATATGTTTCTGTTACCTTACAATTTAAAAGGTTTTAAGCAGAAAAATTTAGGCATGCATTGTGCTGTAGCTGAAAAGACAGGAAAATGTATACCAGATTTGGGAAAAGCATGGTTTAGAACACATAAGATAATTTTAATTGAACAGAAACATTAAAGCATTTAGAAACTGAAATTTAACTGATTAAGCCAGAATGGGTGGAAAAAAATCAAACCGCAAGCCTCTGCTAGAGGGGATATTTAATTTAGTCTCTATTCTGGGCAGCACCATGGTAGTAGATAAGGAAGGGTCACCTCTGTTAAATCTTTCTGGAAGATAGTGTTTTTAAATCCCAAACTTTGTCGTGTTTCTATACACTGTACTCTAAAATCCACAGTGACTTATCTTCTTGGCAAGGTTGTGTGTAACAGATCTTGCATGCCTGCGGTACTATACCTGCTGTGCTGGGTCTGTGGCTCTACTTTTCTGTAGTCAGTGTTCCATACGGAGGTTGTAGTGCATTTGTTTATTTTAGAGGCCCTTGATTAGGGCAGTAACGCACCTTGTATGCTTAATTGCTCTTAGTTCTTTTTCTCTTCCATACGTATTTCCACTTAATTTCCCTGTTCATATTGTTTATTCCTCAAAAGAATCTGGACTTCTCTCATACCTATTTTGTTTTTAAGAAGCCTGTTGCTACATACACCAGATCTTAATATTAGTACAAAATTTTAAGATTTAAGACTTGAATATTTAACTTTACACAAAATGGCATATAATCCCAATAGTTGTCACTCTTCTTTACAACAGTGTCAACATACTGTCAACACTTGATTGTTGCTTGTCTTCTCATTTAGGCTTCAGTTCTGGAAAACCTGAGACTGGCAGTACGATCTCAGCTTGGATTTACCTCAATCAGACTTCCTATTGCTGGCAGATCAAGTAACATTTGGAATCGAATTTTTAATTTTGCAAGGTCACGTCATTCTGGTTCGTTGGCATTGGTCTCAGCGGATGGAGATGATGTTGCCAGCCAAAGTAGTAGTAGAGAAGCTGAAAGAAATAATACTCACAGAAGTCTGTTTTCAGTTGAATCTGATGATACAGACACAGAAAATGAAAGAAGAGACACAGCAGGAGCAGTTGGTGGTGTTGCCGCCACCTTGCCTCAGAAAGTCCCGCCTGCAACAGCAATAGAAGCAACCGTGGGAGCGTGCGGGAGTTCCTCCGCTCAGAGCGGCAGTAGCGGTAACGCGGATGGTGGAAGAGAAGCAACAAGTGTAGAGCCCCCAAGCACAAGTCCCGCACGTCACCAGCTCACGAGCGCGCTAAGTCGTATGACTCAAGGCCTACGCTGGGTACGCTTTACTTTAGGGAGATCCAGCTCAGTGAATCAGAACCAAAGTCCTTTGAGACAGCTTGATAATGGGGTAAGTGGAAGAGAAGAGGATGATGATGTTGAAATGTTAATTCCAGTCTCTGATGTAGCATCAGACTTTGACATGAATGACTGTTCAAGACCTCTACTTGATCTCAGCTCAGATCAAGGACCAGGGCTTAGACAGCCTTACAGTGCAACACATCACGGTGTAAGGTCGTGCAGTCGAGATGGCCCCTGTGAGAGCTGTGGCATCGTACACACTGCCCAGATACCCGACACTTGCTTAGAAGCAACAGTGAAAAACGAAACTAGTGATGATGAGGCATTATTACTCTGCTAGGTACGGATTGTTTAGGAAAGACTGTGTACAAGTTGGAGCAATATCTGTCATTGTTTTGTACTTCACAATTAAAACTAGTTTTTAGGTTTAAAAAATCCAGAAGAACATTATGTTAAAACTATTTTAGCTTGTGTGATTGAGTAAACATCTCTTATACTGGATGACGTTATGGATCGATGAGAGTGAACGTTTTAATGGCTCTGAATACATGATGTGTGTATCCAGTATAACCTGATTACTCTTTAAACTGCAGTTATCCCAGTTAGTTTCAAATTTAGTTTATCCTGGTACTGTAGTTCACACCAGAAACATGGCTGCTCAAGACTTCTTTGGCTGCCTGTTTAACCCCATATTAACAGGTGAATTTGTACAGAATTATTTTTCTTTAGGAATTGACTCTGTTGTATTACTGCCAACATACTTGTAACTTAATATACTAAATGCTGGTAAGGATTGTTAATGTAAAGTATGTATTTTTTTTCTTTGAGTTTATACAACACTTTGTCTAAATATTCTTGAATTTCATCATAATGTGAACTTATTTAAAGGGAGGAGAAACTTTCTCCAGGAGCATTCTTTTTCTTTCAGAAGTACAAAATGCAATGATTTGTGAAATTTAGATATAGTAGATAAATTGATGGCAAAAGCTTTTATAGCGCTGACTTTCCTAAACTGCAATCTACTATGGTACAGCCAAATAGTTTGTAAAATCCCCAGTCATTAGTCTTTTCGATTGGAAGAAAAAAAAGGGCCGAAGATACTACAATACGTATTACTTCTTTAAATATCCGATATGTACAAATACACTACAGAGTAAGTTCCAACTGGT